CAAATGCCTTGAAAAATGCAACAATTATTTTGATACATAAAAAAGGGGATAGAAAGAATTTTAAAAACTACTGACCCATAAGCCTCCTTTCAGTTACTTACAGACTATTCACAAAAGTCATCACAACTTGCATCTCTGATTTTAACCAGCCTAGAGAACAGGCAGGCTTCTGCAGTGGATTCTCAACAACAGACCACATCCATACACTTGACCAAATAAGAGAAAAAATAGACAAATAAAGAAAACACCTGTGTAGGGTATTCACTGATTACAAAAAGGCATACCAGCAGTACTAGAAGCTATCTGAAGACAGGGAGTAGAGGAGGTGTATTGTAAAATATTGAGTCACCCTTTGAAGCCAATCTAAGGCGCCTCGAGGGCGGGACATTAGTACTTGGCCGAGCAATATATCATGTCTGTAAGCAATTAGACTAATAGACCACATGGCTCTAAGTCAAATTTAGAATCTTCACACCCGCAAGGATCACAATTATATCTGACCTCGTCTAACTTCTCAGTTCGCTACCAGCAGTCAGCACGAACAGGTCAGCCTCCACCTCCCCAGGGTTGGCGGGCCAGACACATAATATTGCACTCAGTGTTACCTAAGACATCATCTTGTGTGTTACCTTCACTTCATTGTGTAGTACTCTTCCTTAATAAAGAGTCAAGCCATTTAAATAACGATGCTATTGTACTAAGCTTCTGTGCCTTTTACTCTCTCTCTCTCTTAACCTCCCTCTTTCTCTTTCTTTTTCTCTCTTGCCCTCTCTCCTTCCCTCTCTTTCTCTCTTGTCCTCTCTTGCTCTCTCCTTCCTTTTCTCTTTCTCTCTTGCCCTCTCTCCTCTCTTACCCTCTCCCTTTCTCTCTCGCCCTCTCCTTCCCTCTCTCTTTCACTCTTGCCCTCTTTCCTTCCCTCTCTTTCTCTCTTGCCCTCTCTCCTTCCTTCTCTCTCTCTCTCACTTTCCTTCCCTCTCTCTCTCACTTTCTCTCTCTCGCTTTCTCTCTCTCCCTCTCTCGCTTTCTCTCTCTCCCTCTCTCTCTCGCTTTCTCTCTCCCTCTCTCTCTCGCTTTCTCTCTCTCCCTCTCTCTGTCTTGCTTTCTCTCTCTCCCTCTCTCTCACCCTCCTTCCCTCTCTCTTGCTCTCGCTCTTTCTCTCTCTCAGCCTCCTTCCCTCTCGCTCTCTCTCTCTCTCACCCTCCTTCCCTCTCTCGCTCTCTCTCTCTCTCGCTCTCCCTCTCACTTTCTCTCTCACTTTCTCTCTCTCCCTCTCTTTCTCGCTTTCTCTCCCTCTCTCTCTCTCTCTCTCGCTTTCTCTCTCTCCTTCTCTCTTTCTCTCTCTCCCTCTCTCTCTCACTTTCTCTCTCCCTCTCTCTCTCACTTTCTCTCTCCCTCTCTCTCTCACTTTCTCTCTCCCTCTCTCTCTTGCTTTCTCTCTCACCCCCTCTCTCTCTCTTGCTTTCTCTTTCTCGCTTTCTCTCTCTCCCTCTCTCTTTCTCTCTCTCCCTCTCTCTCTTTCTCTCTCTCCCTCTCTCTCGCTTTCTCTCTCCCTCTCTCTCGCGCTTTCTCTCTCTCCCTCTCTCTCTTGCCCTTTCTCTCCCTCCCTCTCTCTCGCACTCTCTCTCCCTCTCTCTCACTTTCTCTCTCTCTCGCTTTCTCCCTCTCTCGCTTTCTCTCTCCCTCCATCTCCCTCTCTCTCGCTATTTCTATCTCCCTCTCTCTCTTGCTTTCTCTCTCTCCCTCTCACTCTCGCTTTCTCTCTCCCTCTCTCTCGCTTTCTCTCTCCCTCTTTCTCTCTCCCTATCTCTCTCGCTTTCTCTCCCCCTCTCTCTCTTGCTTTCCCTCTCTCCCTCTCTCTCTTGCTTTCTCTCTCCCTCTCCCTCTCTCTCACACTCTCTCGCTTTCTCTCTCACCCTCTCTCTCTCGCTTTCTCTCCCCCTCTCTCTCTTGCTTTCCCTCTCCCTCTCTCTCTTGCTTTCTCTCTCCCTCTCCCTCTCTCTCACCCTCTCTCACTTTCTCTCTCCCCCTCTCTCTCATTTTCTCTCTCTCCCTCTCTCACTTTCTCTCGCTTTCTCTCTCTCTCTCCCTCTTTCTCTCTCGCTTTCTTTCTCTCTCTCTCTCTCTCGCTTTCTCTCTCTCTCTCTTTCTCGCTATCTCTCTCTTGCTCTCACTCTCTCTTTCTCTCTCTCTCTCGCCCTCCTCTCTCTCTCTCTCTCTCTCGCCCTCCTTCCCTCTCTCCCTCTTTCTCTCGCCCTCCTTCCCTCTCTCTCGCTTTCTCTCTCTCTCGCTTTTTCTCTCTCTCTCGCTTTCTCTCTCTCGCTTTCTCTCTCTCCCTCTCTCTCTCACGCTTTCTCTCCCTCCCTCTCTCTCGCTTTCTCTCACTTTCTCTACCTCTCTCTCTCGCTTTCTCTCTCGTTTCTCTCTCCCTCTCTCTCTCCCATTTCTCTCTCGCTTTCTCTCTCCCTCTCTCTCTCTCTCACTTTCTCTCCCTCCCTCTCTCTCTCGCTTTTTCTATCTCCCTCTCTCTCTTGCTTTCTCTCTCTCTCGCTTTCTCTCTCCCTCTCTCTCTCTCTCTCGCTTTCTCTCTGTCCCTCTCGCTTTCTCTCTCCCTCTCTCTCTTTCTCTCTCTCCCTCTCTCTCACTTTCTCCCTCTCTCTCATCGTTTTCTCTCTCCCTCTCTCGCTTTCTTTCTCACCCTCTCTCTCTAGCTTTCTCTCTCCCTCTTTCTCTTGCTTTCTCTTGGCCTCTCTCTCTCACTTTCTCTCTCCCTCTCTCTCTCACTTTCTCTCTACCCCTCTCTCTCACTTTCTCTCTCTCTCTCTCTCTTTTTCTCTCTCCCTCTCTCTCTCACTTTCTCTCTCTCCCTCTCTCTCTCGTTTTCTCTCTCTCTCTCTCGCTATCTCTCTCTCTCTTGCTCTCGCTCTCTCTCTCTTTCTCTCTCTCTCTCGTTCTCCTTTTCTCTCTCTCTCTCTCGTCCTCTTTTTCTCTCTCTCTCTCTCGCCCTCCTTCCCTCTCTCCCTCTCTCTCTTGCTTTCTCTCTCCCTCTCTCTCTCGTTTTCTCTCTCTCTCTCTCGCTATCTCTCTCTCTCTTGCTCTCGCTCTCTCTCTCTTTCTCTCTCTCTCTCGTTCTCCTTTTCTCTCTCTCTCTCTCGTCCTCTTTTTCTCTCTCTCTCTCTCGCCCTCCTTCCCTCTCTCCCTCTCTCTCTCGCTTTCTCTCCCCCTCTCTCTCTTGCTTTCCCTCTCTCCCTCTCTCTCTTGCTTTCTCTCTCCCTCTCCCTCTCTCTCACACTCTCTCGCTTTCTCTCTCACCCTCTCTCTCTCGCTTTCTCTCCCCCTCTCTCTCTTGCTTTCCCTCTCTCCCTCTCTCTCTTGCTTTCTCTCTCCCTCTCCCTCTCTCTCACCCTCTCTCACTTTCTCTCTCTCCCTCTCTCTCATTTTCTCTCTCTCCCTCTCTCACTTTCTCTCGCTTTCTCTCTCTCTCTCCCTCTTTCTCTCTCGCTTTCTTTCTCTCTCTCTCTCTCTCGCTTTCTCTCTCTCTCTCTTTCTCGCTATCTCTCTCTTGCTCTCACTCTCTCTTTCTCTCTCTCTCTCTCGCCCTCCTCTCTCTCTCTCTCTCGCCCTCCTTCCCTCTCTCCCTCTTTCTCTCGCCCTCCTTCCCTCTCTCTCTCGCTTTTTCTCTCTCTCTCGCTTTCTCTCTCTCGCTTTCTCTCTCTCCCTCTCTCTCTCACGCTTTCTCTCCCTCCCTCTCTCTCGCTTTCTCTCACTTTCTCTACCTCTCTCTCTCGCTTTCTCTCTCGTTTTCTCTCTCCCCATTTCTCTCTCGCTTTCTCTCTCCCTCTCTCTCTCTCTCACTTTCTCTCCCTCCCTCTCTCTCTCGCTTTTTCTATCTCCCTCTCTCTCTTGCTTTCTCTCTCTCTCGCTTTCTCTCTCCCTCTCTCTCTCTCTCTCGCTTTCTCTCTGTCCCTCTCGCTTTCTCTCTCCCTCTCTCGCTTTCTCTCTCTCCCTCTCTCTCACTTTCTCCCTCTCTCTCATCGTTTTCTCTCTCCCTCTCTCGCTTTCTTTCTCACCCTCTCTCTCTAGCTTTCTCTCTCCCTCTCTCTCTTGCTTTCTCTTGGCCTCTCTCTCTCACTTTCTCTCTCCCTCTCTCTCTCACTTTCTCTCTACCCCTCTCTCTCACTTTCTCTCTCTCTCTCACTTTTTCTCTCTCCCTCTCTCTCTCACTTTCTCTCTCTCCCTCTCTCTCTCGTTTTCTCTCTCTCTCTCTCGCTATCTCTCTCTCTCTTGCTCTCGCTCTCTCTCTCTTTCTCTCTCTCTCTCGTTCTCCTTTTCTCTCTCTCTCTCTCGTCCTCTTTTTCTCTCTCTCTCTCTCGCCCTCCTTCCCTCTCTCCCTCTCTCTCTTGCTTTCTCTCTCCCTCTCTCTCTCCCCATTTCTCTCTCACTTTCATATTCCCTCTCTCTCTCTCACTTTCTCTACCTCCCTCTCTCTCTCACTTTTTCTATCTCCCTCTCTCTCTTGCTTTCTCTCTCTCTCGCTTTCTCTCTCTCCCTCTCACTCTCCCTCTCTCTCTCGCTTTCTCTCTCCCTCTCTCGCTTTCTCTCTCCCTCTCTCTCTCGCTTTCTCTCTCCCTCTCTCGCTTTCTCTCTCCCTCTCTCTCTCGCTTTCTCTCTCCCTCTCTCTTGCTTTCTCTCTCTCCCTCTCTCTTGCTTTCTCTCTCCCTCTCCCTCTCCCTCTCTCTCACCCTCTCTCGCTTTCTCTCACCCTCTCTCGCTTTCTTTCTCACCCTCTCTCTCTCGCTTTCTCTCTCCCTCTCTCTCTCCCCATTTCTCTCTCGCTTTCATATTCCCTCTCTCTCTCTCACTTTCTCTACCTCCCTCTCTCTCTCGCTTTTTCTATCTCCCTCTCTCTCTTGCTTTCTCTCTCTCTCGCTTTCTCTCTCTCCCTCTCACTCTCCCTCTCTCTCTCACTTTCTCTCTCCCCCTCTCTCTCACTTTCTCTCTCTCTTTCTCTCGCTATCTCTCTCTCTCTTGCTCTCGCTCTCTCTCTCTCGTTCTCCTTTTCTGTCTCTCTCTCGTCCTCTTTTTCTCTCTCTCTCTCTCTCGCCCTCCTTCCCTCTCTCCCTCTTTCTCTTGCCCTCCTTCCCTCTCTCTCTCTCTCTCTCTCTCTCTCTCTCTCTCTCTCTCACCCTCCTTCCCTCTCTCTCTCCCCCCCCCCTCTCTCTCTCTCTCTTTCTCTCTCTTGCTCTTGGTCTCTCTCTCTCTTGCTCTCGGTCTCTCTCTCTCTCTGGCTCTCGGTCTCTCTCTCTCTCTCTCTCCTCTCTCTCTCTCGCTCTCTCTCGCCCTCCTCTCCTCTCTCTCTCTCTCTCTCTCTCTCTCTCTCTCTCTCTCTCTCTCTCTCTCTCTCTCTCTCTCTCTCTCTCACCCTTCTTCCCTCTCTTTCTCTCTTTCGCCCTCCTTCCCCCCTCTCTCTCTCTTGCCCTCCCCCCCCCTCTCTCTCTCTCTCTTGCTCTCGCTCTCTCTCTTGCTCTTGCTCTCTCTCTTGCTTTTGCTCTCTCTCTCTTTCGCCCTCCTTCCCTCTCTCCCTCTTTCTCTTGCCCTCCTTCCTTCTCTCTCTCTCTCTCTCTCTCTCTCTCTCTCTCTCTCTCTCTCTCTCTCTCTCTCTCTCTCTCTCTCTCTCTCTCTCTCTCTCCCTCCCTCCCTCCCTTGGGGGCCTGGGTTATAAAAAATCTGTTGTTTTTTTTCACTACAGTTGAAATATAGTAAATTAGTGGTACTTAAAGAATATTTTTATTGACAAACAAAAGATAGCTATGCTAGTTTATTTAAAGAATTTGCAATAAGTTTACTTCAAGGTATGTAAATGTCGCTAAAATATATCACAAGTAAAAAATATTCTGAGGGGGCCCCATAACTTCATTAGCCCCGGGGCCCCAAAAGGTCATAATCCAGCCTTGGATATGCCTACAGAAGACATGCATTTTCCAACATCTTTACCCAGATTCCACAGGCATGTCACTGTGAGTTTACTTTATTAACCCAATGGTGACGAGTGAAGAAAACAAAAAACAAAAAACAAAAAAAAACAAAAAAACAAAAAAACAAAAAAAAAAAAAACTCTGGCAAACAATGGCGCCGACTTCAAGCGCGTGAGTCCGGTACATCAGCCCAAATCACTGGCTCACCATGCTTTGGCACGCCGCCACGGCATACAGCCGCACGCCACTTTTCGAGCGGTTTGTTTTCACGCCTATCGGCGTCACCCGTCAGGAAGGCATTAATTGTTTTTATGCATTCATAGCATTAGTATAAAAAATGTTTTTTTCCTGCCAATTCAAGGAAAGGTCAAATCACATAAGGTCACAAAGCCTATTAATTGACTCCTTTGTGGCTAAGCACTAGCAGAGCCATCTATGTGGAGAGACATTCCATAAATTTTTAAAAATGAGCTCAGCATTTTCCCTACAGCATTGAGTTAATTCATGCTCTTAAAATATGAAAATCTCCACTGAACTACATTACAAATGAAAATTTGATAATTTATTCTCGGCAGCAAGGCAAGACCAAGGCATTGCAGGCTTTAAGAATTCAGTAATATATGCATGTATTACAACTGGGGAGGGGGAGGGGGGAGAATGTATACAGTGACAGACACCTGGGGTTGCTGCTGTCCCCCCCCCCCTAATAATTTTTTAAAAAGTGAAAGTCTATTCCACATTCCCTTCATACAAACATTATTTGCACTGAAAAAGCCCTGTGTGCTGGGTTGAAATACTAGCACTGATCCTCGGTATTTTTGTTATTTTGATTTTGAATTCATTTTGAAAGGCGTCACAAGTATCCTTTCTAGGATCTGGTGAATAATTCTGCCCCACCCCCACTCAAAAAAAATGCAGTGCCTGCATACTTTTCATATCTCTGCCTTCCCTAATAAAATAAACACACTTTTTATCCACATTGCCCTGTGCTTGATACCCATGTTCATGTTATCACAAGATACAGCTATAACTTGCAATAAGAAAATTCAATGTTGACCTAAAACAAGTCTACTCACCTGGCATGATAAAATTTACAAAGGGTCTGATGGAAAGCCATGGCTTACAGTAACTTGTATCATTCAACTTCTTTATGAATTCAAATTGCACAGGAACCTGCAAAATACCAGTGAGTGAAAATATGTATGCACAGAAAAATAATTGAATAAATAAATATGAAATCATGTGTGTAAAAAAAAAGACCACTTGCCTCCAGAAGGGTGCATATAATGAAAGGAATCAAGTGGTGAGCGCTTTTGATAATGAATTTTTTGTTTCCTTTCAGATTGAGTTTTATTTAAATAAATAAATAGATTACATTTTAAAACAAGAACTTCAGCAATTATTACAAGAAATTATACAAATATAGTATGCAGCAGAATACAAAACTGTAGTTGGGCAAAAATTTCATCATAAAACATTAACTTTAAATATCAAAAGCACCTTTGGAGAATTAGGAATAAAGAAAAGG